ACAAAGAACAAAATTCCAAAAAATGAACTGGTTTGAATATTCAATTCCATGTTTTAAATTTGCATTAAATACCGTAAATCTGGAAATTTTTGCTGTAGATAATTTTTTAGCAAATTTGCGAGTTCATTGCATCTGCAAAAATATTTTTCTTAAAAATAAATTACCATTAAGAAAATGTACACAAAGAGTGGTAATTCGCAAAATTTGGAAACGTAAAAATTAATCAACACCATTTTGACCCGAATTCGCAAAATAAAATCGACGTAAAAATTTCCAGATTCACGGTAGATAAAATTTGACACAGTCTTATTTCAAATAAAAACACTATGAAGTTTTTCCCATGTTATTTTATATTCAGGTTTTCAGCCAATCAAATTTTGGTTCAAATTCTTTGTCTTATTCAAATTAAAAGTTCATAATAATAATCAATAAGAAGTAAGTATATTAAACATCGAAATGCACCGGTATATTAAAATGTTAACTTTTTTTTTAAAAGAACACTTGAAAAATATATAAACTAAAACAGGTTGGTCACAAATTAAAAACTGCTAAGATACTAATACTTATGAAACATAAAACAAAGATATTTTTCGAGCGGTATTGACCATTGAAAATAACTACAGGCAGTAGCATAAGACCCCCTCCTTCATTTTTCATTTTTTTTTTCTTGCTAAAGCCAGGGATGAGTAAACTTGTTTTGTATCTCAACTCCACCCTATATGTTGTTGAGTAAATCGATATTTACTAATCGGAGGCACATAACAATATATATATATGGAAATGTGAAAAGGAAGAAGAATGTGTTTCAAATCTATTGATGTCTGCATATTCCATGATTTCATACGCCTTAGATAATAAGTGAAGATTAAAGGAGGCAGACGACGAGAATAAAAACAAATTGCAAGCCATCTTTTTTATGTAACAGTGGAAAACATATGTGTTTCATGATATTTAAAAACAGCAAAAGAAGATAGAAGAGTAACATTATTAATAACATGCAATACGTATTAAAAATCCGAAATAGGAAACTCCCAATAAAAGGCAAGGGTGGCGATACCCCAATTGCCTGATTACGTAGTATAAAGTTAGCGTTCAATTAAACGTCAATATATTAAGCGCTTAAATTCTCTAGATTGTACATGTAGTAGTATTTTATTGAAGACTATTTATTAGCTATATACATGTAATAAATTCTTTTACTTACCTTTTCTTTGAAAACTCGCTCACCGAACGTCAAAAATGAGAGAGCACATATATTTATAGATAGATGTGCGTGACTCATTGTAACATATGTTTTCCGTTCAATTAATATCTCGAAAAAAAAATAATACAAATATATCAGCAAAAACACGAAATTTACGAGCCAAGGTTTAAATAATTAAGATCATACACAAATTACTTTGAACATAATTTGGTTTTTCCCTGGAGTTGAAGAGTTCGACTAAATGAAGGGCACGTATGCAATACTTTAAATGACTATATATGGATTTATACACATCTAAAATCTCGAATATACACTGAACCAAACTTTTAAGTGTTCACCTAACATTTTTGAAGTTTTTAAGAACAAATGCAAACAATAAATAATTTCTTTAATTCTCGGTTAATGATGCACATTTAAGTTCGATGTTGCGTAAATTTCATTTAAGTATCTCGTCAGAATTTTTAGCAAAGTTTCAAGGAAATGATGTACCCTCAAAATGAAAATTCACACAAAATTCTCGATTGAGTAAGATCCACTATTCGCTCTAATTATTACAAGACAATCTTTATTGTTGGATACCATGTACCCCTGAATAGGAGATTGACCCATCTTCTGCCAAACCTACATGTACTGCATAGATCTTTCCAAACCATTGTAAATGTGACGAAAAAAAAGGGGTGGGGGTGGGGGCTTTGACATTTCTTTGAAAATCCCAAATGTGTTCAATGGGATTCAGATCCGGGAATTTTACTGTGTATCATCACACAAATGCCTTTTGGTCAATTTCCGTGGGTGTTTAGCACGTAAGTGCACTGCTTTAGGGACAATTCAGACTGCTTGAGCTGATATAATACTGCCACGAGCACCGATTTCTTATCATTTTCGTACGATTGAAATGGTTTGTTTCCATTTTTCTAAGATTTTTTCAGGACACTTTAATACTCTTTTAATCCGGTGTGACGAGAAATTTTCTCCTCAGAAGATCAAGGTCACTTCCGGTGTGGTTAAATTTTGTCCAAAACTTTCAAATTGTGATAAATTAGTGGTGAAAACTTATCACAGCCTATAGAAAAATGTGTTTAGATGGGTTTTGATACTGTTTGATAATTTTCATAAGTAATATCAAGTGCAATTAAGCACTTAAATAAAAATGAGTAAAATATGTGGTGCAAAGATGGTCCCGATATCAACATTCCAACGGCTCTACCTTCTATCTCAATGTTCATTTTGCCAATGTTTTGTGTTTTTTAGTGAAGCCAGTTTTTAAAATTTGATAATGACCACAAAAAGATGCTTATTACAAAACACGTGCCGCAAAGTACAGATTTATTGTTTTTAAGCTTCGTCACGGAACATTGGTTTTCATTGGTCATATTGAATTTTCTTTCTACAATTGTTGAGAAGATACATTTGTTGTAATAATTTTAAAATATCATACCCTTCCATAAAGTAGTTTTTAAATAAAGACATTTATTAAAGTGAACACGTAGAAGTTTTGTTAAGTGTATGTTTTGCTATTTCAGTATCTTTCTCTTTGAATAATGCAATAAAAATTCATAATTTGATATACAATGTATTCCTAAAAACCCTGGTAATGCATACTGAATTTTTGTCAATGAACAGCTGTTGACACTATAATCTTAAATTAATATCTTGAAAAGTTATCAGTAGGTAAGGTACGTTGCGTGTGTCCTTAATAATATATTTTCTGCAATAAATTGAAACATCATTTAAAGAATGGTCCGACATTTTTGATCATAGTAGTAATTTTTTTATCTTATCAAATAAAAATGATCCTCCAGAGGAAATTACAATTTGCTAAAATCAATAAAGGTGTTTCCACCCTCACAAATGTAATGGTTTAACGTACAAAACTGCATTTGTTTTTATATAATATACTTTAAATTTTCCAATTATTGCAAAAAATGTATAGGTCACCATATCATTTAAGATGCGAAACATAAAAAATACCCCTTTTTTGAAATAGTATTATGAAAAATGTGTAAAAACGGGTGAAAATGCATAATTCTGATGCTGAATTTTCCTATAACTTCCTACTCATGAGATACTTTGAATTGTAAATATTAAGAATTTTTTTCTTACATTAGAAGTACAATAAAGCAAATGCCTGAATGAAGAGACCCTAGAAGGAGTTATGCCCTTATCAACATTTTTTAAAGATTAAATAAATGATTAAATAAAGAAAATATGCATTTTCAATTTTTTTTTTACCTAACAATATTTATCATTATACTTAATGAAAAGCATTTTACCAAAAGACATTGTTCTATTAGGTGTAAATTTAAACTAATTATGATTTTTGAAAAAAACTTTGACATCATACGAGGGTGAAATTACCTTAACATTTAAAAAGTAAAACTTTAAATTTACATTCCCCGCAAAGAACTTACATCCAAGCTTTATGAGATCAAAGACACGTTTTATATGGTAAATAGAACTTGAAAATTACCTGTCTTTTCATTATTGTCATTTACTGAATTTTTTAACGAAAAATTGTTTTGGATTGTGGACAGACCTATAAGAAGGCAATGTTAAAATAACGATAAATTTCTTATTTACAACATCTTTAAAGTGTTCAGAGATCAGGTTTTCAAATTATCTGTTGGAATGCCGATGGGTACATATTCCCTCACCTTATCAGCAGACCTCTTTTTGTATTTATATGAAGAAGAATTCATAAAAAAAAACTGTACCTGAAAGAAGAGAACTCTAATTGTGATTTCAACTAATCATTTAGATATATCGATCACGCATCATTAATTAACATTATCATATACTTAGTAGTAAATATACCGATTCTGCACGGTGTGATACGGGTGACGTCACAATACCCCATATCACGGACCGGTCCGAAAAGCCATAATATGTATCGGACCCACGGGCCAAAAATCCATATCAAACCGGAAGTAACATTTGTATTAAGTTTGAAAATTAATTTACTTGATTTTATTTAAATATTCATATAGAACAATTCTTTAATGACATTTGTGGTCTCAATTTTTCATTTCAGATACCTAAAATTGGCTCTTTTAGATTTTATAGAAAACTGTCCTTAAGTACAGCTATTTATAAGAACCAGGCAGAAATGAAAATAAGTGATTCATGATAGTGATAGATTTTTCAAAAACTATCATATTTACATTAAGATACATCAAACTAAATACTTGATCACAGTTATAAATGGATTTCATGCATAGTTGATTAAAAAATGAATTCAATATATACTGAAACAGTCAACAATATCCATTGAAAGGTGTCTGTGCGTGCAGGTGATTTTTTAAGAAGGCCCGCACTCTCCTTGAATGTGAATTATAAAATATTGAACATCTAGTATCAAAGAGTAAAAAACAATTAAAAAACCCATGGGTTATTTTAATTACGAATAGATATTGTGATTTTAAATTATGTAATAATATGAAATTCTAGTTATCTCCCTTGGCACTCTTTAGTAAAAGGAGTTGGAAAGAGTGTATTTAACTCTTCAGTATAGAAGGGGAGTATTAAGAAATGTGTGTGATTTCATCTTCATTTTGGAAGTTTTGCCAGTTTTCATACATCCCAGGGGCATGTAAGTCTAAGATTTTTATTAGAAAAATATAATCCTAGAATAAAAAAAATAACTGCCTGCAATTTGCTTAATTTTATCTGACAAAAACAAAATTTTATTTCCTAAACATGCTAAGAGTTTGAGTGTTTTGAAAAAGGCGAACCTTGTTTAACAATAACATCAAAACTACTTAAATTCAGTTAATTTTGGTGAAAAACATTTAATTTTGTACTGGAATTTGAACAGTAGCTCGCTGCTGGGGATTAGAGTATGATGAGTAACTCTCCTTTCCGTCGATACTCCCTTAGTACTATACACAGTCGACTGGAAGAAATCATCGACCTCAGCATACATGAAGCCATAGCAAGAAGCAGTGAAAGCCACAGCAGAGATTGGGTGGAGCATAATTTTTTCTATGTCTCGGCGCCTTTATGGATGTCATATTTACATCAGGTATTTAATACATAACACAGACAAATGTCTAAACAAAGACAAGATTGACTATTTTTTTTTTCAAATTGAAAAAGGGGAACGTCAAGAAAAAATGATAGCAAACATACAGGCTGACTGCTAGTAAGAGTTATCAGTCCTGCTAAAAATCTACCAGCCTAGCTGAGAAAATAATTGTCTTTTGTAAAATAATGAGCAAATGATACACCCCCCCCCCATATGATATGAATATAATAGTGTCCATGTTTTGCTGTAGGAAAATATCATATTAATAATGCCATACTTTCGTACAATACCACTATGTTTTTGCCTAATTTTACTCTTAAAAACACAAAATCTCAGGAGCTTCTGGGGCTTTGCCCCCTGGACCCCCTTCATTCAAACTATGGTATGACTAAACATATGACTGTACCTTGGAACATCAGTATCAAGACCCCTTGTCCGAACAAAGTTATCCACGCCCCTCCCCCTCCCTCCCCTTTTTAATCACAAATCCTCTACTGCTCATGATACCATTAGTTGATTTGGAAGCGATTATCAAATTATTAAATTTTAATTAATGAAAACTTTAAACAAGTCCCGCTGGGCTTCAATATGTGCAAATTGGTAAGCCCACAGCAAAATTTGTGTGTCTCGGGCGGTCAGGCGCACTGTTATTTCAAACACTGTTTTCAGAAATGCCAATGGGTCCTTCTTAAAATAGTGAATATTTAATTAAGCCCTGAAAAAACTCAGATGTTATGGCAAAACCATAATTACTATTTTTCTTATTCATTTAATCAAAATGTAAAATTGTGCCCTTTCAAACTGTATATTTCTAAACTTATATGTGTATGATATTCTTCAATTGCATTTCCTTTTATTTGAATTATATATAAGGGTGGGGAGTCCTACAAAATGTAATTGACAAGCAAAACAACCAATAAAATACTGTTATGGTTTTATCAGTTGAAACGGGGGGAGGGGGTGTTAAAGCCATAAAACCCTATCCGAATGGGGGAGGGGGGGGGCTTCCCAAATATTCCTACAAGCTAATATATACACACATAGAAAGAGAGAGATTTATAAATATGAGAGCACATACAATATGCATGGGTTTCTGCCAATGTTTTCGTCTAATTTGGGTTTAAAACTTAAAAAATAAAATTTGATCCTACAAAATTAGAACTCTTTTTCAATTTATATCTAATAGTATGAATTCATGATGATATCACTAGTACATGGGGGAGGGGGGTGGTAAATAAATATTAATTATCAATAATTCAAAAGCTAAATTGTTATATAAGTGTATGCATTCTCTTGTCATATGATGAATTTCATGATTTGTTATCATTTCAGATGCAATCTGAGCCTTGTTCTGAATTTCAACATCCCCTTTGACAACACCTGCACAGCTGAGGTAATGTAAGCTTAAAAATTGAGGACAACCGTCACCAAGAAAAGATTATCAATTCAACTAATGTTAGTGTTATATATACTTTATATTATTTATGCATCATTAGATAATTCGGTATTTTGTGTTGACAACTTGCAGTTTTTTTTAATTATCCCATTAAGAACATTCCTTTTCGTTTAGCAATCAAGGGCCTTCTGACTAAGGGCTGAATTATAGTGAACACTACCATTTATAGACTTTGAAACAGGTATATGTTTCTTCTGATCTTGATTCTCTGAATTTTTTAGCTCACCTGAGTCGAAGGATCAAGTGATCTTTTCTAATCAAAGTTTGTCTTTTGTCTGTCATTGTCATTCTTCAAGGGGAGAGGATTACAAAATTAATAGCATTACTGATATCTTCTCAAGAACCAATGGCACAGGAAAAATAAAACATATGTGGAACCATTGTCGGGTAGTGTAGACCCCATGTGTAGGACGGGGCCACAGCGGATGATCAGAGTTTAACATAGGAATACATAAAAAAAATATTTTAAAATCTTCTTCGGATCTTCGGATACAGCAAGCCTTGATTGGTAATATTTATATGAAAGCATTTTCAGGTGGTGTAGATTCAAGTTTGATCAAATCATGACCCCGGGGATAGGGTGGGACCACAAAGGCCAATCAAAGTTTTACATAAGAATATAGAGAAAAAATCCTTTAAAAATATTCTTCCAAAGAACAGAAAAGCCTTTAAGTTATATATATTTATGGAAGCATTTTCTTGTAGTGTAGATTTGTTAAAATCATGACACCCCCCCCCCCAGGTATAGGGTGGGGCTACAATAAAAGTGTTCAAAATTGTAGGGAAAAACTCACAGTTAGTCAAAAATAAGTACCCTGTAAGCATCCTTAGTGTAGATTCAGTTATGTTCAATTATACCCCTCTCTCTCTCTCTCTCCCTTACAGGGAGATGTCAGGGCCACATATGCTTTTAAGCTTTTCAATACAAAGCTGATTTTTTATTTTTATCCAAGCCAGGTGAGTGATATGGACCTGGGTCTCTTGTTAAATCATTTTTCTACACATATATGTACAGTACAACTCGGTTATAACAAACTAGGACCTGTAAAAGTACTTCGCTATATAATTCGTTATATCCATATTTGTAATTTTGTAATATTTATATAGTTGGGGATCCAAAAAGACTTCTTTGATTTCACAATGTCCGTGTTTGTACTAAACAAGTTTTACTGCAGTTAAATGTAAGTGGAAGCCAAATAGGAGTAAAAGATGTATTATTGTATGTCATCTTCATTATTTTGATCAATCCATACAAATGTTTCTTTGAATATTGGAAACTAAAATCAGTAGAAAGTTAGAAATTAAAATTTATAAAATGCAGCATATCTAAACAAAATTTTTGTTGTTGAAAAAAAAACCCTTTTCAGATGAGAAAGGCTGTAATAGTTATACTAATATTCAGAATCAAATAACAGCTAACTACTTGAGGCAAGGATGGGATGAGGGTTGAAGAAGGGGTTACATCACTTGAAAATTTAGAGAAGAATTGTAGAGCTGAGGTTTTTCTCAAGAACCACAGGGCCAGTTTTTACCAAACTTGGCAGGGCTAAGACCCCTTAGGCCATGCAAAGTTAAATACTTGGTTCTCAGGCCTTTTTTTCAAGAAATATGACGAGTGAGGGAGACTTTTTTTTTCTTTTTTTATTGCCCCCAAAACATGATGAGGCAGCTTTTTACATTGTAAAAAACCTCAAAAAATGATGAGGGAGGTGATTTTATTGATTTAGCAATAAAAAGGGTCAATGAGGCACCCTTGGTAGAGATGAGGGAGGGCCTGAGAACCAAGAAATTAATTTTTTTTGCCTTACAACTTACAAGGGGTGATAATCAAGAAAAGAAAAAAATTGTCCCCCTCCTCCTAAGAATAGACCTAAACCACAATAGGTATTACAAGTAGGAAAATCTGGTGTAGAACAGCAAGACCAGTTACTCTGGTGAGTGTTATGGACCATGGCCTTCTTGTATTCGTGATCATGATCATAGAAAAAACGAATCTTAAATACTCTCCTCCTTCAACAGCATCAAGAAAAAAATTGCTTTACGGAATGCCTATTTTCATTAACAAAGTTCAAATTTTGAATTATATTTTTTCCAGATTGATGAATGAACCACATGCATTGTGTCAGAGGAATCTAGCTTGAACACCTATTTAGCAGCCAGGACACTTAGATGTACCTGTACAGTTGATACAGATAATCTCAACGGCACATTTCTAAATGATGGCCAAAAAAATCTAATAAAGACACTGTCAGTTTAAAACTTTTTGAAAGAAATCCAGACTAGAAACAAAGGATATTGATTTTTAAGCTCCTCCAAATGTAAAAGGGGTTTTATTGAAACCAAGACTAGGATACACCCAAGGATATTTAATATTACACCCCTTCAACATAAAATTTTGAATTTTAGTTTGCATATCTAGTGAAGAACATGGATTTTTTGACATTTGATACACTTTATAATGTTATATTGACATTTTTTCAAGATTTCTTTACTGTAAACTATGTATTTCTGCAAAAAGTACATTTACAGATGATTTTTCAAAAATTGCTTTAAAAATACAATTGAAATTTTTAGATCATGTCTCATAAATGGTTAATCATAAATGGTTCACCACAGAAACCAAATATTTGTTTTCAAGAAGTTAGGTACAAAAAAAAATGGTGTGTCTTTCAGTATTTTAGCTAATGGCCACTCATACAGTTTTCTTCATACAAGCTAATCACATTGACTAAATTGTATAGGCAAATACAAAATTTTTGGAGATGTTGTCATGGTAACCAGATACAAATCACAAAAGCATATTTAAAAAATATATTTTCATGCATTTACAATAAACTGTGAAAATAATACGTGTATGTTAGTCAACAATTATTTTGTATTTTATGGAGATTTTGTAAAGTCGATTTATTGTTTAAAAAAGCATTTCCAGAATAATTTGTTACCATGGTTACAAAAATTTATGAGAAATCCACTGGTTTTATCTAATATTTGCAAGGTTAAGGAGAACATTTTTCAACTTATATTATCAATTTTTTTTTTGTGCTTGTGGTATTTTTTCCACAACATACCCTGAAAATGATATATTTTGGTATTTTCTTGAAAAATGAGTTTTTGTGATATTCTGTTGCCATGGTTACAGAATATTTTTGAAAAACCCATGGGTTTTGTTTTGTTTTATTAGAATTAGGATTGTGGTCTTTCTATCCCATGCTTTCAGTTTTCTTTAACATGTGGGATTTTTTTTAACTATGCTCTTAAAAATGGTTATTATTGTGAAAAATGAATGTTTGTGACATTTTGTTGCCATGGTAACAGAATATTATTTAAAAACCCATGGGTTTTATTTAATTTTATTGAAATTAAGAAAGTGCTCTTTCTATTCCACATTATCAGATTTCTTTAACATGTGGGGTTTTTTCTTACTATGCTCATAAAAACGGTTATTATTGTGAAAAAATGAAATTTTGTGACATTTTGTTGCCATGGTAACAGAATATTTTTAAAAAACCTATGGGTTTTATTTAGTTTTATTAAAATTAAGAAAGTGCTCTTTCTATTCCACATGATCAGATTTCTTTAACATGTGGGATTTTTTCTTACTATGCTCATAAAAACGGTTATTATTGTGAAAAATGAAATTTTGTGACAATTCGTTGCCATGGTAACAGAATAATTTTAAAAAACCCATGGGTTTTATTTAATTTTATTAAAATTAAGAATGTGCTCTTTCTATCCCATGTTATCAGATTTCTTTAACATGCTGGCCTTTTTCATAATATGCTTCTAAAATATGTTAGATTTGAAGAAATATTGTGAAAAGTGAATTATATGAAATGACCTCTGTTAAATTGAAATTCAGCACCTTTAATAAATCCTATATAATTTTATCCTTATAGTAATCATTTATCATTTTGTATGTACTTCTCAGGAAAAAAAGATTTATTTATGGTACTATCATCAAAAAAGCTCTGTTCATGTGTTCAATAATAGCTAAATTCACATTTTTTTCAATTTTTTGCTTGGTTGCCATGTGCATTTACATGGTGCATTGTTTCCATGGCAACAAAGGCTGGCCAAAAAAATTATGTTGTCCAATGATGTTCCCTTGGTCCATGAAGCAACATATTAAAATTTTGTAAAAATCTGAAGTGGTCATGAATCACCCCCTGCCTGGTTCTTACAAATAGCTGTACTTAACAAACACAAATATTCTTCAACCACAATATGTGAACTCGCATATGAAGTATTTTAAATATATGATAAATAGAATACTACATACTAAAATCCATATCATATGTCACATCAGCCCTCGGGCCCCATATCATATGATATGGGGCCACTCGGGCTGATATGACATAGATATGGATTTTAGTATGTAATATTCTCTATATAACTACTTAAGTGCATTCAAGTAGACGACGTGGTAAAGTGTTTGGGACGTTTGCTTTAGAGTCGCAAAGTAAGGAGTTGACCCGTAAAGGGCGAATCCCACTGTGGCACGTGAGGTCCGGTACTTCGGATCTGTTTCATACTTTGTAAATACATAAATGGTAGTCTCACAACAAAACTTTATGATAAGGTGAGAACTTTTATATCGAACATTTCCCGTACTCATATACATGTAACAGTACACCCATATCAACTACATTTGGGGTTCATGTTTCCAAGTTTATTCTATACACTACTGAATGCTCAATATACAAACAATTTCTACAAAGATACAAGCTATTGACAAATATTTTGCTAAAACAAGAGTTTCAACACATCAATTTCGTTTGGAGTCATTATTTTGCAAATTCAATGATCGATACAAAATGCCTGTTAGCAAATACAATCTATCTTGTGATGAATAACATTTTTCATACTAATTACTCTTAGGCTATTATTTATACACTGAATCTACAGATGTAGCGAATCTTGTTGCATACATGTACAGTATAATTTGTCCAAACCGGCTACGGCCGGTTCCGTGAAATTCGGTTTAGACAGAATCCAGAGTGCAGTAACCTCCCTACTGACCAATAATTGGATCTTCGTATTGTTTCACAAAATATTATGAAAACATGAGAAACTAGAGGTACTGTGAGCGATGAGCTCACTAAATGATACCCCCCGCCTCCCATATGGTTATAAGTACTGGTGAAAAAGTCCATGTTTTCCTGTGGCCGGGAAACCCAAAATATGTGTCGGATCAAAAAGTAAAATAGGAGGTGCACAATGGCAATATGTAATAAAGATTCTGTGAAAGTTGCATCAAATTTCATTCAGTGGTATGAGAGGAGTTGCGGATAAGAGATGGGTACCCCAAAGCGTAACAGTCGGACGGACGGACGGACGTGTTTACGAGAGTGCATTTATTGGGTATTTTTCATGCCAAGATTGTACTTATTGGGTACTTTTTGCTTATTGGGTATACCCAATAAGAAGTGTCGCTGAATATGCTTAAAACACCCTAATTGGGTATTTGCAGGTTAGTACCCAACAAAACTTGGACACGACGATTTGTCCAAAAAAGTGTCCAAAAAAGTTGCTTTCACGGACGCACCGTGTTTTGTGTTTCAGTTTTACATTCGGAACTCTAAATTCTCGAGAGTTCCGAAAATCAACTTCCGTTGATCCTGATCATTACAACGTTTGTTTTCATGGAAAAAAATATGGCGACTAAGAAACACTTAATGTCAACAAGATTGTCTGATTGACAAGAGAAAAGGTAAGTTTATTCGATTAATAATTATCTATTGGTGGGATCTTGTTTAAGGAAAATTGATTTTAATGTAATTTTGAAAACAATTGTGCACAAAATTAAAATATATATCGGAACAATTAATCCTAAGTTGCACTTGTATGTATTTTGAATTTTCTCTGTCTTTTTAACTCTCTTGAGGGCGACAAGTATTTAGTAAATGATCGTATATTGTTAGATAATCTTTAATTAATCGAAAGTGTTAATTATTTAATTTTATATCATAACCAACTAAGTATGTTCTGACAATGTATATTGGAAAGGGAAATGAAAATTTTAACAATCGTGTGTTCATAAATCAGCTGTAAATTATCGGTTCATGTAGACAGTATTACAATCGCAAAGTGAGCTGAGATGATGATAAATGGGATAATTGACAACTAAATAATTGTATGTAAGTTTATCTCATCTGATATGTAAAAGATTCATTGTATTACTGAAAAACGTTCAGTCAAAACAGTGCTTCTTTCTGTTTTTGATTTTGAGTGTCTGCTTTAGGGGACGACCATTTGATCCTGAGGGGGGGCCTGGCAAATTTTTCTGAGACAGATTATTTATTTTCATGCCTGTCGAGGACAGATTATTTATTTTCAAGATTATCAAGGACAGATTATTCATTTTCTTCTTCGTCTTATGGTATCTTGATCAATTGATTCTAAAGGACTAATCATTTTTACACCATAGGCGGATACAGGATTTGGAGAGGGGGCGTGTATAACCTCGTTTAGGAAAGAGGTCTGGGGCTGCCGTAAGGCCCCCGGTGGGTCCTGGGTGACGCGAAGGGGTAACCTCCCCCCCTTGAAGTTCTTGGGTTTTCGTGTATTTTAAGAGTAAAATCAGGCACTATTATCATAGTTATGGCACGCCAAATTCACAAAAATGAGATAAACATAGTTTCACAGTCCATAAACTAGGTTTATCGGTTGTAAACTATAGTTTACGGACTGTAAACTATAGTTAACAACGTTAATCTATATTTTACATCCGTAAACCATAGTTAACGCGATAATCTATGTTTCACAACCGTAAACTATACTTAACACTGAAAACAATCATTTGCGATTGCAAAACATAGATTATCTGATAAATACAGTTTCACGATTTGTAAACTATTGTTTACAAACTGTTAACTATAGTTAACGATCTGATAAATAAAGTTTCACGATTTGTGAAACTATGATTAACAACTCTTAACTATAGTTTACGATTGTAAACTATAGTTTACACACGTGAATCTATGTTTATCAACAAAATCTATTGTTAACGCTTATTACAGACAGATAAACTTAGATTATCATTCGTAAACTATAGTTAACAACCGTTAAATATAGTTTTACAGATGAAAACTATACTTAACGAATCGTTAACTATAGTTTACGGTTTGTAAACTATAGTTTACAGTCGATAAACCTAGTTTATCAATTGAGAAACTAGGTTTATCTCATTTTTGTGAATTTGGCATGCAATACATAGTGGCATTGGTTATTATGAACCAAAGTATGACATAATTAATACTAAATCATACTTTGAATGAAGGGCGTTCAGGGGGTGAAGCCCCCTGAAGCTTTTGTTTTTGTTTTTTTTTTTGCATTTAAGAGTAAAACCAGACACAATTGTATAGGAATTCGTTAGCTATATGCCAAAGTATGACATTATTAATACTAGTCATATCATACTTCGAATGAAAAGGGCCTAGGGGGCAAAGTCCCCTGAAGCTCTTGGGTTATTGTGTATTTTAAGAGAAAAACTAGACATAAAAATATTGGTATTGTACCAAA